CCCTACTCCTTCAAGCCACAGGCACTGCCCCGTGAGACTCGGTCTCAAAAAAAAAAAAACTCAATCCATTAAAAAGAATGAAGTTTATCTATATTCAGTTAAATGGAAAGATGTCTAAGAAAATATTAACTTCAAAAAGTTAAATTGCAGAATAATACAAATAATATGATTTTATATGAAAATTATATTGATGTGTTTTATAAATTACATATGTATATATTTATATTTATTTAGGATTATATGTAGAAAAAGATTCAAAGGATTTTTAAAAATAATGTCCCAAATTTTATTACCTTTAACTTGTGATAAAAATATAACAGTCAGATTGAATGTAGATAATAATGATGGCCTTTTGAAATGCTAAATAAAAGTAGAATATAATCTTTTAACTAGCTCACTAATTTTTTAGAGATATGGCTCAAACAAGATAAAATTGGTATTCTTTTCTGTAGTTTAAAAATAAATGTATTTACCATTATTCACAATGATAGGGTATGAGTCATTGGTAAGAGCCTGAGCTGATACGGTATTTCTTTAGGCATAACTCTTCCAGGCCACCATACATTCAATTTTATAGTTTTTGTAAGATAAAATTAAACTCCCAAGTTGTATTTGATTTATTTTATTATGAAGTAGCTATAAATGCTGAAATGTATACACCACATTTACTTATTTATAAAAAGATTACTTTCTTAAAAGAATATATTTCAATCTTTAAGAATTTATTTTGGGTGTGACGCCTGTGGCTTAAGTGGCTAAGGTGCCAGCCACATACACCTGAGCTGGTGGGTTCGAATCCAGCCCAGGCCCGCCAAACTGCAATGACGGCTGCAACCAAAAAATAGCCGGCCATTGTGTCGGGCACCTGTAGTCCCAGCTACTTGGGAGGCTGAGGCAGGAGACTCGCTTGAGCCCAGGAGTTGGAGGTTGCTGTGAGCTGTGATGCCATGGCAATCTACCCAGGATGACAGCTTGAGGTTCTGTCTCAAAAAAGAAAAAAGAATTTATTTTGGTTTGTGCTGGGTGTGTTGGCTCACACCTATAATCCCAGTGACTTGGGAGCGTGAGGCAGGAGGATCTCTTGAGCCTGGGAGTTGGAGACCAGCCTGGGCAACATAGTGAGAAGTTGGCTCTAAAATAAATAAATAACTAGAAATTTTATTTTGTTTTATTTTAGCTTAAAACAATAGAAACCTTATTGGGTAGCACAAGCAAAATTGGAGATGTGATTGTTCTTGGAATGATAACTCAGTTAAAAGAGGTAAGTTAAATGTAATAAGCATGAAGCTTTTATTTTTGGCATGGGATTGATGAACTGCCAGTAACTTAAAGCCCTTCTGTGGAGGGTGTAGGAATGTGTTCTTCACCGAGGCTTCCCTCAGTCAGCAGGAGTTTGGGTCTGTGTTCGGTTTCCTGAGTAGACATGAGAAGGAGTGACCTTTCTGGGAGCCTAGTTCACGTAGCCTCAATCAGGCCCACGGTGACCTCTGGTTGAACTGAGAGTACTCGATCTCTAACACCCACGCTGCAGACTCTGTCCTGGTCCCTCGGAGATGCTCTTAGGATGATGGGGAGAGGCCCTCCTTCCAGGAGCCTGCTGATGTCCCTCTTCCTGTCCCTGGATCTGTAGCTGTCATTCCCAGGGTACTGTGCGGAGTCTGAGTCTCAACAAAGTCATTAGTCTGAGGTTACCAGACTAGTAAGAGCCTAGGCTAGAAATTATAGCTGATTTTTAAAATCTACTGTTACCTTGACTATGTTCTATTATCAATTTTGTCAGTCGTCTAATTATTTTGTCATAGTATTCATTTTTATATAAATGTGAATATATTTCTATTTTTTAGGGAAAATTTTTTCTGGAAGATCCTACTGGAACGGTACAACTAGATCTTAGTAAAGCCATATCCTTCAATTTTTTTAAAATCATGTTAAATGAATTGAGGAAGCTGATTATGTGTTTCTTCAAATTTACCTACTTGAGTTCCTGATGTAACTTCCATGTGTTGAGGGGGTAGGAATATAGAGACATAATCCCAAACAGAGATAAATAACTTTAATTCCTCCTTACTTCAGAGAAGCCACTGAGGAAGTTTCTAGCATAGCAAGGATGATCCAAACTGTCAATACTACCAAGCTGCATCTTAAAATTAAACATGGGGACATTTAAACCCCCACTTTTTAAAGCTATAATCTAAGCTATTGTCTTTTCACAATTTCAAATGGGAAGTCTTTGAATTATTATATAGGATTTTTTTTGTTTTTTTTTTTTTTGAGGCAGAGTCTCACTTTATCACCCCAGGTAGGGTGCTGTGGTGTCACAGCTCACAGCAACCTCAGACTCCTGGGCTCAAGCAATTCTCTTGCCTTAGCCTTCCAAGTAGCTGGGACTACAGGTGCTAGCCACAACGCTTGGCTATTTTATTTATTTATTTATTTACTTATTGAGACAGAGTCTCACTACCTTCCCCTCAGTAGAGTGCTATGGAGTCACAGTTCACAGCAACCTCATACTCTTGGGCTCAAGCAGTTCTTTCTCTTGCCTTAGCCTTCCAAGTAGCTGGAACTACAGGCACCTGCCACAACACCTGACTTTTTTTTTGTTGCAATTGTTATTGTTGTTTAGCTGGCCCAGGCCAGGTTCGAACCTGCCAACTTCAGTATGTGGCTGGCTCCTTAACCACTGTGCTACAGGTGCTGAGCCAGCGCCTGGGGCTATTTTAGAGGCAGGGTTTTGCTCTAGCTCAGGTTGGTCTTGAACTTGTGAACTTAGGTGATCTGCCTGCCTCCGCCTCCCAGAGTGCTGGGATTACAGGTGTGAGCCACCTTGCCAGGCTCTGTATAAGAGTTCTGTTGGCTTTAAAATGTATGTTGACTTCATCACTGCCTCAAGCTTAAAAACAGAATTATTTTCCTTAACTGTCGTTTACCAGTTCCATAGCGGGTTATACACAGAGGCCTGCTTTGTCTTAGCAGAAGGTAAGTCAGTATACTTTTTTCCTGTCCTGTTTATTTTTCTAAATTAAAACCATTTTTACAGTGGATTAAGTATGTTAATAGGATAGAATTTAGGATAACATGGATTATGAGAGCATATTTTTGAGAATGACATAAAATAAGATTGCAAATAGGCTAAAACATGGAGAAGGCTTTTTAAGGTGATGAAATGTTCTGAAATTGGATCTGGGCGATGGCTGTGCAACTCGTGAGTATACTAAAGGCCCCTGGGTGGGTGAATTATATCTCAATGAAGGTGAAAAACACCTTAGATTTTCCTAATCTGTGCACTTTCTGTACTCCAGCATATACTGTGAAATTAAAAAGTGAGAGGTTTTACTTCTGAATCTATTTCTGTTTAATGAACTTGTATTTATGGAATTTAGACTATCTGTGGATCTAAAGTGATTGACGCGGGTGGGCAGCTTCTGTCGTTGGTTCCCAGAAAGCATGAGTATACAGCTAAGCCTTATGATTTGTGTAACCTTGTTTTCGTCCTTTCAAACAAGAAGAAGGATTGGACAAATGAAAGTGATTTGTTACTTATCTTTTTTTCAGGCTGGTTTGAAGATCAAGTGTTTCATGTCAATGCCTTTGGATTTCCACCCACTGAGCCTTCCAGTACTACTAGGTATGAAAGTGTTTGATTTAAACTCTGTAGGAAATTTGTGATACTGGCAGTAGTGTAGGTGAGATAGTACATCATCTCTCAGTTATTACAAGGTCTCAGGCTTCGTGTCAGAATGGAAAGAAAGATGGAAAATGAGAATTAGAAGACTAGGTTTTATATGAAAACTCACAGATTGGCCGTAGATTAGTTGTAGTACCATCTTTGGACTTTGACTTCCCCTGGGAAAGATTTCCAATCTTCCTTTTTTATTTATCTGTGGGGTTGATGAGACGTTCAAGAGAGATAAGAGAGATAGGAAAGGACTTAGAAGAATATAATTCCCATGTTAATGTGAAGTTCTCACTTTCATAGTCCACTAATGAACGAAAGTTACAAAGAGCAGCTTATAGCTCCTTGGTATCAGTAAATGCATCATATTAATAACATCAGAGCTATTCCCAAAGGGCCTTCTCTGAGGGGAATTGAAGTGTCACTCAGGATGTTTAGGCAGAGGCTGAATGATGTAAAAGTTGTAGCTGGTGGGCAGTGGGTTGAAAGTCACTTGTAAACCTTCTTTTTCTCCCCACCTTTGAGATGTTAAAAAAGATTTTGCATTAGTTTCCAATGTGTAAAAATTAGGAGATTTTTGTCTAGGTGCAGTAGCTCATGCTTATAATCCTAGCACTTTGGGAGGCTGAGGTAGGAGGGTTGCTTGAGCTCAGGAATTCAAGACCAGACTGAGCAAGAGTGAGATGCCTGTCTTTCCTAAAAATAGAAAACTTAAACTGAAACGTTGTTATGCTCTGCATGACTACAACCTATCCTAGATCCTCAGTATTTAGATTCTGGCTAACATTTATTTCTATCTCCCAAGTCAGCACTCGCGGTGCTTTAGAGGAAATACATGGACATGTTGCAGAATAGCAAAAAATCCAAGTCCCTAGGCGTGCATATTCCCAGCTGAGGTCGAAGAAGGCCTCGCTGCCCTCTTGTTTCAGCCTCATGAAGAGATGACCGTAGGACAGAGATGACAGGAGGCAGTGCAAGGGGGTGCAAGACATTCAGACAGGCCCTGGGACCAGTTGTGGGGATGGGGAAGGGGTGTTTGAACCTCTCTGCTCTGGCACCTGTTACTGGAGTAGCCACAGGCAAGTCCCTTAACCCTCTTACACACTTTCTTGTTTATAAAAAAGCATCTACCAGAAAGAATTGTTTTTAGGATTTAAGGTTATACTTTATGTCCGTATCTTCCTAAGGAGCAATTCAGCACTTGCCATTTCAGTGTTTGTGGAGACTTTATAGAACATAGACATCACTAATAAGATAACCCTGCTATAACGAGAAAAATACACACACCTGGAGAATTTCTCCGTATGTAGGAATGTACACATCATCTGCCCTTTCTTTCTCTCCAAATGGACGCATGCTGCATGCGCTTTGTAACCTGTTCTTTCATTTAATGAGGCACAGTCAGCATTTTCCGTTACTGTGAAGTGCTGTTTTATTGCATGATTTGTGGCATTCAGCTTGTTTTGAGCACATACCCCCTCGCTGGTAGGTGGGGTATAGACATTACACTGACTTGATGACGAAGTTGATTCGTTCTATAAAGGAGAAGTGCACGGTCCTACAAAAGTTGTATTGGAAAGATCCAATCTCTTTGGGGATCCTCCTGTAGAGGAAGCCTCTGGGAGGCTTAAGATTTAAGGTGAGAACTGTGACAAGTTAGCCAGTGTAGAGTGGGCAAGGCTGGTGGGGGCTGGGAGTGTGTATATGACCCGATTTCCTTGTGACAAGTTAGCCAGTGTAGAGTGGGCAAGGCTGGTGGGGGCTGGGAGTGTGTATGTTACTTATTTTAATATTGCTTTAGTCAGTTTTAAAAACGAGATTATTAGTTAAATATTTTACTGCTTCTATATTGCTTCCTGTGTCATTTTACAACATTAAAATAAGTATGTCTGCTTTTTAAGTGTTAGATATAATACACTTCCATGTATTTACACTGGAAGATAAACGTCATTAGATGCAAAAAAACTAAATTAGAAAAATATCTCCAACAGAATATAGAATAAAAGGTAATTGTTATGATTCCCTAGGGCATACTATGGAAATATTAATTTTTTTGGAGGGCCTTCTAATACATCTGTGAAGACTTCTGCAAAACTAAAACAACTGGAAGAGGAGAATAAAGATGCCATGTTCGTGTTTATATCGGATGTTTGGCTGGACCGGGTAGAAGTATTGGAAAAACTTCGCACAATGTTTTCTGGTAGGTGTTTTTTACTTTTTCTTCCACTCTTTCTTGAATTATTATGAAGGTTCATGTCTTAAAACTAATTTTTTTAATACGTGTCTTTTTGAATATTCTGTGTTTTTTAAAAAATCATTGATCTAGCAGAGAGATACTTTAAGATTTCATTTTAAAGTTTTACATTTTTTGAGCAGCGCCTGTGGCTCAGTGGGTAGGGCTCTGGCCCTATATACTGAGGGTGGCGGGTTTGAACCTGGCGCCGGCCAAACTGCAACAAAAAATAGCCAGCATTGTGGCTGGCACCTATAGTCCCACCTACTCAGGAGGCTGAGGCCAGAGAATCACTTAAGCCCAAGAGTTGGAGGTTGCTGTGAGCTGTAACACCATAGCACTCTACCAAGGGTGATAAAATGAGGCTCTGTCTCTAAAAAAAAAAATAAAGTTTTACATTTAAAAAAAAAACTGTGTATATTCATGCTAAATAAGCATTAGTCCTTCCAGGTCCAGTGGCTCATGCTTGTAATCTCAGTACTTTGGGAGGCTAAGGTGGGAGGATTACTTAAGCCCAGGATTTCAAGACTGCCCTGGGTAACATGGCAAGATTCATTCTCAACAAAAAATTAAAAAATTAGCTGGGTGTGGGTGATGCCCGTAGCTCAGTTGGTAGGGTTCCAGCCACATACACTGAGGCTGGCAGATTCAAACCCGGCCCAGGCCAGCTAAAACAATAATGACAACTGCAACAAAAAAATAGCCAGGCATTGTGGTGGGTGCCTGTAGTCCCAGCTACTTGGGAGGCTGAGGCAAGAGAATTGCTTAAGCCCAAGAGTTTG